ATGGCACTTACACCCGTGGTCAGTAGAAAGATAGTACCCAAAATGGGTTCTGATTGGGGGTAGGAGAGTGCCCATAGCAATTGAGAAGTCACGAGCTTCATGTCTTCAGTCAAGCAGTTACCTTATGGTAACCCATGGGGCCTCATCCACTCTTCCTATTCCCTTTAGGTTGTTACACTCTGGTACCGTGCTCCAGAAGTTCTTCTGCAGTCTACATATGCAACACCTGTGGACATGTGGAGCGTTGGCTGTATCTTTGCAGAGATGTTTCGTCGAAAGTATGGGATCCAAGTTCCCTGGATCACCTTGAATTCCCCAAATCTCTTATTCATAAAACCACATCCACACCCTGCCAGTTCTTTTACTTGAGTACCACTGACCATCTTGCCCATAACCAGAAGCTCTGAAATGTTCTAGAATTAGGAACTTCATATCCCTTTATTCTCCATATTTTTTATTTTGAGCCTCTAAGCAGTAACCGTTCAACTGAGATATCTTTGAAAATGACTGCCACCTTGTGTCCCTTCTTACCTTAGGCCTCTCTTCTGTGGAAACTCTGAAGCTGACCAGTTGGGCAAAATCTTTGAGTAAGTGACCAGCAAGGGAGATAAGAATTTTCCCCTCTGAATCCTCCTCCTGCTGAGCCCTGATGGCAACTGGCTTTGCCTGTGGGGATGGGGCCTGGAGAAGGACTCTCCTGACCAGAGTTCTCCTGTCCCCTGTAGCCTGATTGGGCTGCCTCCAGAGGACGACTGGCCCAGAGATGTCTCTCTACCCCGAGGTGCCTTTCCCCCAAGAGGTCCCCGCCCAGTGCAGTCGGTGGTGCCCGAGATGGAGGAGTCTGGAGCACAGCTGCTGCTGGTACCGGGCATGGGCATGGGCGAGGGGATAGGGTGAGAATGGGGTAAGAAATGGAGTAGTACAAAAGGGCCCAGACCACTGTGGTTACGTAGACTTAGTTGGTAGGTGGGGTGCAGTTTTTATTGCAGCTATGAATGGCCATCCACAGAGAGATGTAGAAGAGAGCCCATCCCAGGTATGGGGGTGGGCAGAAGTCTTTTTTTTTTTCTTCATGGTTTTCTGACCTTTGCTTCCCTCCTCAGGAAATGCTGACTTTTAACCCACACAAGCGAATTTCTGCCTTCCGAGCTCTGCAGCACTCTTATCTACGTAAGGATGAAGGTAATCCGGAGTGAGCAATGGAGTGGCTGCCACAAAAGGAAGCGAAGCTGCCATTTCCCTTCTGGACACTTGAGTGGAGAGAACCCCACTGAGAAGGCGATCTCTGCCTTCATCTCCAAGGCTATGGAGACTCCTCTTCCAACTTTTTACAGAGTATTTTGCTGCCTTAATGACATTCCCCTTCTACCTCTTCTTTTGAGGTTTCTCCTCTTACTGCCTATTTCTTTACACTAAGGGGTATATCCTTTCTTGTCCCCCACCCTACCTTGATATTGGGGTCCTTTTTTATACAGGAAAAACAAAACAAAACAAAGAAATATGGTCTTTTTTTATGTTTGTTTGGCTTTGCCATTGGGAGATTTGGAAAAACCATTTGGAAGAAGGAACTTCCCTGCAAAACCTTAAAGACTCCTTAAGTTACAGGGTCTAGACAGTCAGTGGAGCCCCTTGACTGGCAAAGATTAGAAAGGAACTTAAGTTGCTTTTTCGAATATGGGGTTAAAATGGTTTTTATTTTTATATTCACAGAACTTTCTCAAACTGGGTCTTGCTTATTCCAAGAAAGAGTTCTTGGTGATTTTTCTCCTTGGCTATATCTCCAATTTGCCCTTGTAGCCAGACAGGGTGTGTTGAGGTGTTCCAGCATACAGAAGGGGGAAGAAGGGAAACAGGAATGACTTCAGCCCCATCCCATGTACTCCCAGAAGCTTACCATATTTCCTTGGGGAGAAAGGGAGGAAGTTTTTCTTCCTATTCCTTATAATCTTGCTCACACCAAAATATGTCAAGGCATAAAGTCTCACTATTCAATCAGTTTTAGGGGATGTGGCAAAGGGCCTTTCCTTTTTCTCAGATAAAAAGGGCTATAGACCCTAGGTTTTCCCTAAGGGAGGAAAAAAAGCTTAGCAGAGCACAAGAGAAGTCAGACGGATCAAAAGTCTCATAGGAAGGCACTGGGGTTGGCTCTAGGATCCTTCTGATTCCGAAATCTCATTGCTAGCCAAACACCAAGGATCTGTAGGAACAAAGGGAGAGAGATAATCAATTCTCAATCTCTGGAGTTAAGACTTGTAGAGAAAGGGTGTATGTGAAGAAACTGGAGAATGTTACCTCTGTAAAGCTAAAGAAGAGTCCAACACCCCCCAGGATTTTCAGCGCTTCATCTGAATGCTTAAGAAACTTTTCGCCACACATCTGGCATGTGGGGCTCTTGCTCTTGCAGATCTGAGGATAAAATGTGCATGTGGAGAATGCAAAGTTGCTATTCACCAGTATCTATGGTGAATGTCCACAGGAATTATTTACTATTATCTGACCAGTTCTAGATTTAAAATCCCACTTGGCTAATTCCCTAGTCTCTGTATTCAGCCCCCAGCACAAAGCCCCATTATAAGAGAGCTGCTAAAGAAGCAATGACATTAAAACCAAACTTTCCAGCTTGGACATTGTCTTTGCCCACTTTCCCTCCCCCTGCTGCTGCACCCTCTCCTTTGCTCCTCCCCCAAACTCACTGCCGTGCAGAAATCATAATCTTGTTGATAGAGGGTTGTGAAGTTGAATAAGCCACAACAATCAAAACTTCTTTCCAGTTCATCCCGAGTCTTGTTACTCATGACCCACCAAGAAGCATTGATGACATCTGTCTGAAGGATAAAGGCAGAGGGAAATCAGTCTCCCTACATCCTGATCTCAGTTTAAAGGCCTCAATTTCCCTATTCCAGCTAAGGGAGTCAACATCCCTTAGAAACACATGGTGTTACAATTGATGACAGATATCCACCTTCTCAGGTTCTCCCTCTAGATCATCTTCAGGAAAGATTAACCAAATACCCCAGAGGAAGCAAATGACTCCAGTCTGGAAGTAGTGGACCTGAGGATGATATTTGGGTAGTTGGGGCCAGACTGAGTGGAAGGAGTTAGAGGTTAATGAAAGGAAAAAAAAAAAAGAAAAGGTAAAAGGACATCCCCTTACCTGTTTGCTTCGGTTAATAGCCAGACATGAGCAAGAGATTCCAAACTGGAAGATGAAGACCAAACCAAGGATGATCATGTACTGAGATCAAGAGTTATGGAAAAAAAAAAAAGTCCTAGATTGCTTTATGTACCATCTATAATAACCATCTAGTCTCTTCATAGAATTTATGCCACCATGAGTTGAAAGTAAAATCAGCTCTTGCTTCATAAATTATGGTACAGGGCAGGGCAGAGAAACATGTCCCCATGGTCCCTAAAGTCCTGTACCCTCTGACTCAACCCTCCCAGAAGCCTGGATGCCCCCATCACTTCAGTTCAGGATACAAAGAATAGCAGGACTTGGTGGTGGTTGACAGCACCCACCAGTCCAGCCACTGCGATAAGGAGAAGGAAGACTCCCACAGCAATGACTCCTCCGATGATGTGGATGCTGGACACCAGACCCAGGCCCTTACCCCAGGCAGCCACTCCAATGAGCAACAAGCCCACCAGCTACAAGAAGCAAAGCAGGATACATCTCAATTCTAATGTGCAGTACAGTTGAAGGCCATTACAAGGGGGCTTGGGCAAAAAAAAAAAAAGAAATGATTGGTGTGGGAATGGGGAATGGGGCGGTGCTGTGGTAGCCAAGAGCATCCCTGAGCGCTCCTCCCAAAGGTCAGAATGGCTGGAATGGCGGGTAGGGGATGGCAGGGATGATAGAGTGGCTGAATATAAAAAGTGAACCCTTAGCATCACTCCATCACTTCTCTATATTTTGGGAGAAACAGGTAAACAGAAGGGATGGGACTTTATGCCCACAGCCTTCAGTTCACTTCCCCCACCCCCAGACAAACCCCTTCATCACCGGAAGTCTCCCCTCTTTCACGGAAGTCCCCAGGAATTCCCTCTTCGCCGGAAGTTCCCGGGAATCTTCCCGGAACCCTCAGTACACCCCTCTCCCCACAGGAAGTCCCCTAGAGATTCTCCCCACTCCGTCTTTCAGCCCTGAAGCTTCCCCCACCTCCAGAACCTCACCATATAGACCACGTTGAGCGCGCAAAGCGCATTCTTGGAGCAGGCAAATCCGCCGCAAACCATCTCCCCAGCTCTGGGGACCCAAGTGGTCCCAAGGACTTGGGGGGAGGGTATTGGGGACCGTCTTCTAAGATCCCGACAGCTTCTGTCTCTTTAAATCGAAGCCAGACAAACCCAATACTCTGCGCCTGCACCGTCCCACCCCTGCTTTTGGATTGGAGAAACTCGTGGCTAATCCAGGTCGTCGATGGTCTGAATGCCAATCAATCCGTATTACGTCACTGACCCGCCTCCTGGCCCCTCCTTTAGGTTCTCCATTGGATGAAACTTAAAACTAGGGGCAGGCTTTCCAGAGCTTCTCATAGGGACCGTGCCTAAACTCCAAAGACCCGGATTGAAAACGGAGCTTTCTGTGGTCGGAGTTGGGAGAGGGCTAATCCGAGGGAGGAGGCTCTGGAGAAACTCAGGTGAAGAGAGAGACACGGAGGCCCGGGACGGGGTGGGAGGTGGAGCTAGGCGGAAAGGACTCCTCCCCTCAAAGGAGGGCCCTTCTCCGCCCCTTTCCCTTAGTCTTGCAGTGACCTCATGATGACGCCATTGTTTTGTTGTTATTGCATCACACTCCAGAACACTCAGAGGAGCCAATTTAGCTTGGCTACGGAGGCCCCAGGTTCGGCATGGCAACCCTCAGCAAATCCTCACACGTTGATGTGTCTACTGGTATACATGTCGTGTCCCATATCCCCTCCTAACGGGGTGTGACTATGCCAGAAATTCAGTGTGGAAAACAGCAGCCTGAGGCTGGCGCACATCTGTATGTTACAATGCCACGGGTGCACACATGGTGTGCCCCACATCTTCAGAGCACATGCCTGATCCAGAGCTTGCAAAAAATGACAAAGGGAGGAGTCTGGGATGTGAGTAAATGAGGAGAAGGGGGAGTATGCATATTTTCACTCCAGGGTGGGTTGATCCATAACAATTATTTAGTGCTTTGACACATCATCCTTTTCATGGAGGTGAGGAAAGACAGAATTCTTCTCTCCCCTAGGATAAAAAAGCAGTATCAGTAGAAACAAAAAAGATAAACTTCCAGTCAACCGCACAGGATGATTTGTGTCTTCTTAGATTCTATGACTGCCTAAGTAGTATAGTCTTAAGCCTAGTCAGACTGCATGGGTTCCAACTTTGCCACTTACTAACTGTGTATCCTTTGGCCAAGTACTTACATTCTCTGTGACTGTTTCCTCATCTGTAAAATTGGGATAAATAACAATATACCTACCTCTTGGGTGGTTAATGTATGTAAAGTGCTTAGAACGGTACCTGGCACATGGTAAACACTCAATCTTAGTTTTTACTCTTCAGGCCATTTTACAGGTTCCAGTGGGTAATCCCAACCTCAATTGCTTCATCTCCAACTACACAGATATTCACATATTTATAATTTCCTGTCCTTCATAAATTAGTATCTAGAAGATATGCAGAAGAGACACTTGGCCAGGCCAGAGAGGTTTCAGTCTTGAAACAAAGTAATTAGGTTCAAACTACCTACCACCTCCAACCTCCCACTCCCTTGCTCCCAGCCCCAGCCCCTTCCCACCTGCAGCCCCCATCCTTGTTCTCTCCTTCATTTCTTCAACCACCCTCTTCTCTTTCCCATCCTAAATCAAGGGCAGGACAGTGGGATTAGGGAGAAGGGGAACCAGCTGGCAAGCATCTTGGTTGTGTGTTGTAGTCAAAAGGGTACCAATATTATAATCAGAAGATCTGGATCCATGTCTTTGACCTCTTACTACCCTCTTTGAGCTTCAGTTTCCTTTTATGCAGAATAGAGATAAATAATCCTACCCCTCAGGCCTGTCATGAGGATAAAATAAGTGAAAGTGTGTTGTAAACTATTAAATTTATAGACATGTTAATTATTATGAAAATAATTGAACATGCAGCATGGGGGTTTTATCTTGGGCCTGTTAAACAGGAGGTGGTCACAGTGGGTAGCTAACCAAGGAAGGGTTGTGTTGCAGGGCACATTGGGCTGTGTAGACAGGCTGGTGAGTACAAGTATATACTAGAATGCAGGGCTTTGAGGGTGACAGACCAAGTGTGTGTGTATTCCTGTGAGAGTTTGAGACAACACAAATCTGCAGGTCACCAAGAGTTTGGGATTGCACCTGGGACCTGGCTCACCACATTCTCCCGGAACCAACACCCATTTTAATTAACCACCTCCCACAGGAGGCCCTGGGCCAGATACTTGTTAAGGTCTCTCCATCCACCTGGCTGGGAAATCCTAGCAGAGGCTGGCTGGCAGGGCTGATAGGCTAACACTAGGGGGGGTGTGAGGTACAGGAGGCAGAGCTGTCCCAGGCTGTGGGTTTGAAACTCACCAGTCAGGAAGTGAGGCCGACAGACAGACGGAAGGGCGGGCAGGGGCGGGGAGTTCTGGGGCAAAGCAGAAGGGGCCTTCTGGGGTTCGGGGGCTGCAGGGCCATGGGCTTCAGGGCCAGAGGTTGCTGTTAGCCTGGCAAGACTGGTCTGGGCAACATGCATGCCCAGAGGCAGTTGGCTGTAGCCGCAGTGAGAGCAGAAGTCAGACGACATGAGGTGGCCAAGCAGGCTCTAAGTCGCCTCAGGAAGCTGGCAGAGAGGGTGGACAACACTGAACTTCGGGACAGCATCCAGGTCTCACTGGACAGCATACGAGGTAAGAGAAGGGTCAACTCCAATCTGGGTGTATTGGGGACCAGCAGGGGCAAAGAAGGGTTAGCTGTGTCATATATCACTTCCCAATCAGCTACTTCCTAGTCTCCAAGATGGAACTGGGACTCTGGGGAAGAATATATTTGGGGAAGATGGAAAAAGACATGGGAGGCATCATTCTTCCTTTTCCCCCAACTCTGATCCTTTTCCCAGGAGATCAAAATACAGGTCACTGTTGAGCTGACCTTCTTGGTAATGGAGAATTGGGTGAGCATGGGGAAGACAGGCTGTGACAGACCAATGGTGGACTCAGTCCCTGCCTGGGGAGTCCAGAGCAGGAAGCAGTCTGGGGCAGGAGGTTCTGGGACTGGATAATGTGTCCATTCCCAGGACCCATTAAGGATCAGTGACCTCTTGTTCTCCAGCTGTAGAGAGAAACACACACACACACACACACACACACACACACACACCCAGGCATACTGAAATACAGCACACAGAGAATCTCAGGCTCTCAGGCACACACTCACACTCACACACCATGCTCTGCAGAGCTGAAGTATGGAGAAGTCCCCAGGACTCTTCTTGGTCCCCTCTCTTCCCCTTGCTCCTGTTCCGGTCTTCCTCCCCCCCCCCCCACACCTTCCGCTCTACCTCCTTAGTGCCATTAGAGCAAGTGATGACAACACAGGGAGGAAGTGCTGCCATGGCAACACCATCCGCCACATCCTCCTGCACACCCTAGCTTTCAGTCCTGTGGTGGGGCCCTGGCAGGAACAGCTTCTCTCCATCCACAAGGCCCCACTGCTGAGGAACTGGTGGAACTGGAGGTCATTTCCAGCTTGCTCTATTCTCATTCACCTCTGAGGTAGCACAAAGCTAACAATAGCAGGTTTCTCTGCTCATGAAAGGTGTCTGGTAGAAGCACATCATCTATCTCCATTCTCAGCAGCCTATGGGTGGGGGGCAGGAGGGGTGTCAAGAAACCATTCTTTCCATCAAGAACACCTCCTGCTAGACCTCTCTGCTGGTAGAGGCCACCAGAGCATAACTTGGGGAAGGAAAGGCTCCTTGGGATTCCTAGTGGGACAGTCTGATTCCTTACCATTGCCCTTTTGAGGTTAGTGCCACTCTCACCTCCTGTTCCCCCACTCTTTGCCAGTAACTACACCTGAAACCTTCCCTGACACCCATAGTGGTTGGAAAGGCAGACCTGGGGGAGTGGCCTGTGGGGCCTCCTAGAGAGAAACTCTAAGCCCCACCCCGTTTGAAAAAAAAAGGAGGAGGAGAGAGGTGTAGGCCAGGTAGAAAAGCTCTGCTTAGCTCTGAAGAAGGTGGTAGTGAGAAGGGGTGGAGGTGGAAATCTCTGAGAAGTCTCCACTACTTACAAGTGATTTGTTCTACTCCTTCCCTAAGAGTTGGGATTCTGTTCCCATTGAACATAAAGGAATACTGAGGCCATCCAAGGACTAAAGATTAAGCCAGAGCCAACAATTCTCCTTCACCCTCTACTTCAAAGAGGACTACTAAGGGGTTCTCCTGTCCTGGGATGATGTCATCCTGATTCTACAGAGAGAGGGAGAAGCTGCTGACCCCAGGGGACAGAACCATGCAGGGATTGGGTACAGGCCTCTGGGAAAACAAAGGGCTCCCAGCATCCTGGTTCAGCACCCCCCCACCCTCACCCCCCACCAGGCCGAGCATGCTGGCTTCTGCCTCCAAGAGCCGCCCACGGCAGCACTTATTATAGTCTCAGCTGCGTCAGGAGGGTGGGACGCCAAATCAGGGGACTGCTGAGACTCCCCAAGTCCTGGGGAGAGGTCTCCAAGGCTGTGGAGAGACCTCCCCCTGCCATGTCACCCCACCCCCAAGGGGTCTCAGCCTCACTTCCACATTGGCCTAACTGCTTCCTGACTGGAGGATAGAGAGCCTTGAACTCCAAGGCCCCTAGAAGAGTGGAGGACACAGAGCAGACAGTTTCCATTCAGTCTGCCTACCTCCTCTTTAACCTTCTAAAAAGAGTCCCACCCAGCAAACCTCAGGAGACTGAATGGGAACCCAAAAGGGGCTGGCTGGCGCTGCCTCAACTGAAGGGTCCTTATATTCGGGTAGTGAAATCTCCCACACATGGGTAACCAGGTGTGAGGGTGGTGCCTCCACAAACCCAACATCCCCAGTGGCCTCCCACCCACCATACACAGGGATCCTTCCTCTCTGCTTATTTGGCTGTTTCTGAGGCACTATTGGAGCTACAGTTGCTATGGAGACTGGATACATTTTGGTATGGGGGGTATCAATCTTAGAGGCACTCCTTCTCCCTTCACCTGGAACTGGAGCCTTTGACTCACCCTGTGGCCTGAACTCCTCCACCCCCTCCCGCAGGCACACCATCTCTTTACTACCCTACTAAGTTCCATGTTTGTCTCCATCCCTGGGGAACACTTTCCAAGTTCACTTTAGGACAGTTGGGCTCAAGTCGTGAGCCCATCAAAGTATCAAGTGTGGGGGTGTGGGTGGGAAAAGGAGCTGGGTCATGAGAAATGGAAAGTGTTTAGGTACCAAACAGAGACAAGGGGTCCCAGGAAAAGGATTTCAGAGCCCACTACATTCCCACTTCAGCTTTTGTAGAATTGGCAATAACCCCGAGTTGGCTCTGTTCACAGCTGTCTGTCCGCCCAATAAATCTATTTTCACCCTTGTCCCTAAATGCCATACCCCACAGTAGAGCTTCCTAACCTTGTGCAAGAGGAGGGGGCTAGGTTGTTTGAGGAGGTGAGTCCAAGTCCCAGGAAATCCAGCCCAGGATTTGGGAAGGAAATCCAGTCCTGGATTTTGCACCGCCCTCGCAGACAGCGGTGCTGGTGGAGAGAAGGTGGAGGGGGGAGATAGGGTGGGGGGGCTGGGGGCCGCCTCCTCCTCAATGTGAGGGGAGCGCCCGGACACAGCGCGCATCCGGACCGAGCCGAGCCCGGGCGAGGCCCCCGGACTCTTCGCCCGGATCTCACGCCCCTCCCCTCCCAGACCCCAGACCCGTGGGTTCCCACCCCCCTCCCGTTCCCTCCTTCCTCCCCCGCCGCCTCCCGCATCTCCATCCCCAGCATCCTCCCCGCGCCCCTGCGAATCCCCCGCACGGCCTGCCCCACTAGCTTTCCACCTTCCTCAAGACCCCCTCTCTTCTACCGCATCCGCGGCCCCTGTCCCTTGAGTCCCTTTTCCCCGCCCCTGCCTCCCCCGCACCGGTTCTTCCTTTCCCTCAGCCTCGGGTCCCCTTTTCTGCCCCCTATTCCTTCCTCTCCCCCATTTGCCCCCACTACTGTCATCCCCGCCCTCCCCCGCCCATCTCAGAGCCCCCACCCAGGCCGGGGTGCACGGTCCGGCGCGCCTCCCTGGAGCAGCACCAAGGTCCCAGGGCTCCAAGGGGGTGGGGGCGCAGGGCGGGGAGCATGGGGAGGGGGCGCCCCATGTGATGGGAGGGGGGCGCAAGCGGAGGCGGCGGAGGCGGCGGCGACAGCGGAGCCGGGCTGGGGGCTCAGCGGGGTCCGGGGTCTGGGGGCAGCGAGCAGGGCGGCCCCATGGCCGGGCCCCCCTGAGGCAGTCCGGGGGAGTCCCCTCCCCTCCCCAGCTCGGGGGTCTCTGGGCCCCATGAGCCGGGGCGCGGGCGCGCTTCAGCGCCGGACAACGACCTACCTCATCTCGCTGACCCTGGTCAAGCTCGAGTCGGTGCCTCCGCCACCGCCTTCTCCGTCTGTGGCCGCGGCCGGCGCCCCCGGGGCCAGAGGCTCCGAAGCCGGGGATCCTGGCAGCCCCCGAGGCGCGGAGGAGCCGGGCAAGAAGCGGCACGAGCGTCTCTTCCACCGGCAGGATGCGCTGTGGATCAGCACGAGCAGCGTGGGCGCGGGGGGCTCGGAGCCCCCCGCCCTGTCCCCGGCTCCGGCCAGTCCGGCCCGCCCAGTCTCTCCTGCTCCTGGCCGCCGCCTCTCCCTCTGGGCCGCCCCTCCGGGACCCCCGCTCTCCGGGGGGCTGAGCCCCGACCCCAAGCCCGGGGGCGCCCCCACCTCCTCCCGGCGCCCCCTACTCAGCAGCCCGAGCTGGGGGGGCCCGGAACCCGAAGGCCGGGCGGGCGGCGGCGTCCCTGGCTCGTCCTCCCCGCACCCTGGCACCGGCAGCCGGAGGCTCAAGGTGGCGCCTCCTCCGCCGGCTCCCAAGCCTTGCAAGACCGTGACCACGAGTGGAGCCAAAGCCGGCGGGGGCAAGAGCGCGGGCAGCCGCCTGTCATGGCCCGAAAGCGAGGGCAAGCCCAGGGTCAAGGGGTCAAAGAGCAGCGCCGGGACTGGAGCTTCTGCCTCTGCCGCTGCTGCCGCCGTCGTCGCCGGGGGAGGAGGTGCTGCAGCCGCGACCTCTGGTGGGGTCGGGGCTGGGGCTGGAGCCCGAGGGAAACTGTCCCCTCGGAAAGGCAAGAGTAAGACCTTGGACAACAGTGACTTGCACCCAGGACCGACTATCACCTCTCCTCTTCCGCTAACCGTCCCAGCAACCCCGACTTCAGCCGCTGCTGTCACTGCCGCCTCCGCGCAGCCCCCCGGGCCTGCACCTCCTATCACTCTGGAACCCCCAGCTCCAGGGCTGAAACGGGGCCGGGAGGGGGGCCGAGCATCCACTCGTGACCGCAAGATGCTCAAGTTTATCAGCGGCATCTTCACCAAGAGCACAGGGGGGCCTCCTGGCTCCGGGCCCCTTCCCGGACCCCCGGGCCTGTCTTCTGGCAGCGGGTCCAGGGAGCTGCTGGGCGCAGAGCTCCGTGCCTCCCCTAGTGAGTAGGGTCAGGGCCTGAGAACAGGGAGGGGAGGGCACCTGGAATGCTCGGCTTGGGGTGCGGGAGCGATGTTCAGGAAACTGGGGAAGCTTTCTTCTTGGGTGGGCTGATGAACCAGGGTCGCTCCTCTGCCCAGGACGGGGCAAAGAATAGGAGGTCTGGGAGCGGGGTGAGTAGCTACATTTTGCGACATGAGAGATGACTTGATTTTGGAGGAACTGAGAGAGCCTCAGAGCTTTCTGGGAAAATAATAACCTTGGTCAGAGTGACTGTAGGCAATCGCTCCCAGAGAAGCCCCAGAGCCCACTTCCAGCCTCAGCAGGACTCTGGGAGCGTGGAAACGGGGCTTTGCCGGTCTAGAGGGGCGTTGAAGGTGAAAGGGATGAGGAAGCCTCAGTTTCCCCTGAGCACTCGGGGCCAGTGGCGTGACTGTGACCTTGCAGGCAGCTCCTCGCCAGGGACAGGTCTTCCCTGGGCTGAGAGCAGGGCTGAGAGCAGGCTAGTGATGTTTTCCATGAAGTGAAGGCGGATTGGGCGGTACGCGAGTGCGCGGGGGGCTGGAACGTGCCGAATATTTAAATGTGAAGTGAGAGTGCGGGTAGCAAGCCTCACCTCCCCCGCCGCCCACCCCGCCCCCGCCCCGAGCGGCGCTGCAACCCGCCTGGGACTGACCCCGGAGTGAGTCAGGGGGGCAGAACTGCTGCAAAGGCAATTCTTACCCCGGGAGACTTGGGAGGCGGCACCGCGAAGGCAGTTTTTTCCCCCGAGGGGTGTATATTATTTTATTTTCTGGAGGAGATAGGCGGGGGACTCTTGATTCGGCTCACACTCCTGGGAGGGGAGGCGGGTCCAGGAGCGGAGGCGGCCCCCGGGGTTTGGCTCCGGAGCGGGTGGGAGCAGATGGCTCCGGATCCCAGAGTTCCCGCCGCAGCTGCGGCGCCCCGGGAACGTCCGGCCAGTGTCAGGCGCGGGGGCCGGACCGGCGGGCGGAAGGAGCGTCCTTTCCCCCAGGCCTGTGGCTTCTCTCTGCCAGGGGATGGAGCCCTTCCCCAGTTCTTCTGGAGGGCGCTAGTGGGAGGGCGTGGGAGCAGGAGGCACAGGAAAACCCAGGCTCTATCCCTTGGGCTGTGGGGAGGGGTCAGGCGCACAGTGCCCGTTGACCTTGAAAAAGGAGGGAAGGCCCTCACCTCAGTTTATCTCCTGTGAAATGGAGACGTAGGAAGACCCACTCTCTCCTGTGTTCCAGCACCTCCTCCCAGGAGCTGCCCTGGGAATCAGTAGGTCAGGGAGGAGCTCGTCTTCTATTCTCTTTCCAGAGGGAAGAACCTGCCACCATCAGAGCCCTGGTCTCCCTGTCTGGGGCAGGGACTCACGTTTGGGGATGTGCTTTAAGGGAGATGCCAACTGAAGTATTTTTGTCTTAGCTAGCTCCGTTGCTAAGCAACCGCTGAGCGGCAGCAACAGCTGTGGGGAGAGCGGCTGGGATGGGAGGACTGGGGACCACTCTCAAACCTATCTGTTCTACACATCTCTCCAGCACAGGGGGGTTAGGGGAAGCCGCAGAGGGAGGAGAGTGGCTGAGGGTTGGGAGTCCTCCTGGGCTGGGAACCTCCCCACTTACTCCCCTTCTCCCATTACAGAGGCCGTGGTCAATAGCCAGGAATGGACTTTGAGTCGCTCCATTCCTGAACTGCGCCTGGTAGGTAACCCGGTCCCCTTGCCTGTAGGGAAAGCTGGCCTCCCACTCACTGCATTCTCAACTCTATCCCTTCTCCTCTCCCCTTCTCTCTGTCTGTGAGAACCGGGAATCGAATCGTTTTCCAGTTCTCCTGAAAGTCTACCTTCATAGCACCATCCTGGGCTTGCCACATCCCCACAACTTCTTTAGTCTTTATCCTCCCATCCCCTTTTCTGTCTATGGACCTCTCCAGGACCTCTTCCCTTTGGTCCTTTATGTACTTTGTTAGAATTGGGTAAAACTTTCCATCTAGTGCTTAGAGTTGTGACATGCTACACACATACAGATCTGGTATATTTCCCAAACAACACAACACAAAAAAAAACTGGTACTGAATTGCTGACATTTTGCAGCTTGTGGTCCACTTTGAGCTTTGGGATCATTTCTTACCACAGTCATTCCCTGATCTTCCCAACTGCTGTCTCCTGACTGACTGTCATCCAGCCCCAGAAGGGCCCTACTTGGTTGATTTAACACTGCCAGTCCCTTTGGGTTCTCTGGAGTGTCCAAACCCAAGCATCCTGCTTTCTCTTAATTCCCACAATCTCTGCTCTGCAATCTTGCCCTCAGGGTGTGCTGGGTGACGCCAGGAGTGGGAAGTCATCGCTCATCCACCGATTCCTGACGGGCTCATACGAGGTGCTGGAGAAGACAGAGAGTGAGTTCTCAGGAGCCATAGTAAGCTAAGGATTGGGGTCAGGGGTCAGGAGTAAGATCAATGACTAGGCAGGTATGGAGATCAGGGGGAAGGATGAAGCCACAATAGCTAAGGTACAGGGAGCATGGGGATGTTTTCACCTCTGACCTATTGCCTCTTCTGACTCTTCTGAACAGGTGAGCAGTACAAGAAAGAGATGTTGGTTGATGGACAGACTCATCTGGTGCTAATCCGAGAAGAAGCTGGGGCACCTGATGCCAAGGTGAGGGGCGGAGGATGGGAGCATAAGCTGGCTTGGGTCAGCACTGGCCAAGGAGAGGGCTCTGGTTTCCCAGGTCTCACTTGAGACAGTGTCCACAGGAGTAGACCTGTCTGACTCTCCATTTACTCCCTCACCCCCCGCAAGTTCTCAGGCTGGGCAGATGCGGTGATCTTCGTCTTCAGCCTGGAGGATGAGAACAGTTTCCAGGCCGTGAGCCGTCTCCATGGGCAGCTGAGCTCCCTTCGGGTGGAGGGACGAGGAGGCCTGGCCCTGGCACTGGTGGGGACACAAGGTAAGGAGGGTTGGGGGAGCACTGCTTTCAGGGGAGGCCCTGAGGAGGCCACGGAGGTATTGTCCAACATGGGCAATAACTTGTTAAGGTGTGGAAATGGCCACTTGGATTCCAGTGACCTCTTGGAGGGAGTCTGGTCTCCAAAAAAAGGAATTGTGAAACCAGACACAAACTTCCCAAGGTCTGAGCAGAGAAAAGGGGACCTCCAGGGAAGAAAGGACAGTTAAAATAGCCATCTCGGTTCCTCCCTGAAATCTCACCTATCTTGTGTTCTCACACTGCCATTTCCTGGTGCCACCGCCATAGGACAGAAAATCTCAAGTCCTAGTGTGGATAGAAAGCCTTTTCCATCTTCCCTTTGCTACAGCTGGGTCAGGCTGACACCTTTTAAAGGAACTTATCTAAAAACAAGGAGAAAACACAAAGTAAATAATGGAGAAAACAAGAGGACAGAAACTGTTTTAGTTGTCAAAGTAGTGATTCAGAGGCTCTCAAAGTCTTTGCCAGGTGAAGAAGACTTTTCTGTACTCACCTGTGTGAGCTGGCAAGCCTTTCCATCTGAATGCCTGCTCTGCAGGTGCCTGCCTCCACCTGTTGCTTGCCTCCTCGCTTCTTGTTGCAGAGTGAGCAGTCCACCTGTTGCCCATGGACACCCAACCTCTTCCTAGTTCACATGCCAAGTGTGTTCTCACTCGTTCAGGGATCGGTGGGATTACAGGGCAAGGTGATTATCACTCATGCATGAGTCTCACCCATTTCAGACTTTGTCAGGAAGTGCCACTCACCTCTGGAGTATTCTTTGAAGACACACACACACACACGCAGACAAACACAGCTTACCCAGCCGACTCATATGTGAGCTGGGCCCAGCACCCAGAAAGGGCTTATACACTCACATTCCATGTGGTCACAGGAGGCATGTTCTCACACCCCATCCCCAGTGGGCCCAGCCAGAGCCTGAGCACAAGGGAAAGGGAATCCTGAAAAGTGGGAAAGGGGCCCTTCGTTCAATCCTGCCTCTTTCCTGTCCCCTCAGACAGGATCAGTGCTTCCTCCCCTCGGGTGGTGGGCGATGCTCGTGCCCGGGCTCTGTGCGGGGAAATGAAACGCTGCAGCTACTATGAGACTTGTGCAACCTATGGGCTCAATGTGGATCGGGTCTTCCAGGAGGGTGAGTGTGCTGATCTCCAGCATATGTGGGGAGCCGGGAGCTAGAGGCCTGGGACATTCTTAGAAGTCGGGCATCCAGGCCTCTCTCTGAGTGACATTAGCCTCTGTGGGAGGGAGGAGAGAGCAGGGAGGCCAGAGGACGTTTGCTTAATAGTCACAAGGCCTTTCCAGGCCTGAGGAGCTGGCGAGGCCACAGGTGGCATGAAGGCCACAGTGACAAGAAGTTGGGGCCTATGTTATCTACTGGGGATTGCTCAAAGCTGGGCATGGAAGGGTGGTCTTGGGTATTCGGCCTGCTCATACCTCTTCTCCTTCCCACTCCTCCTCTCCTCAGTGGCCCAGAAAGTGGTGACCTTACGCAAACAGCAACAGCTTCTGGCTGCCTGCAAGTCCCTGCCCAGCTCCCCAAGCCACTCAGCTGCTTCCACCCCTGTAGCTGGGCAGGTGAGTTGGGGTTTCAGAGTGCACAGAGGGGCTGGTAAGATGCAGAGGAGGGGCTGGGCATCCCAGGACAGGTACAGAGTACCCCAGGTGGTTGGGGGAGCAGGGGAACAGATGGAAATGGCTGTGAAACTATTTGTAGAAAGAGCGTTGGACTGGAAATCAACCAGATTTGAGACACCATTTGCAACATCCTTGAGCAAGTCACCTAACCTCCCAAGGTTAGCAGGAAGATTATATAGCATAATGCTTGTGAAATCAAACTTTGCAAAATTTAAAGCACTGTAACAATGCTAGTGACGATATTTTATTATTAATGATAATATAAATAAATGGTGAGGAGATCAAGGAATGTCTCAAATTCCCCATAACTAGGTAGAAGTGTAGCTTGGTGGGATAGGGGCATCTCAGCCCTGCTAACTCTTCCGTATGCACTCAGGCTAGTAACGGGGGCCACACTAGCGACTACTCTTCTTCCCTCCCATCCTCACCCAATGTCGGTCACCGGGAGCTCCGAGCCGAGGCAGGTGCAGTGGTTGGATTGAGCACCCCAGGGTCTCTACACCGAGCAGCCAAGCGCAGGACGAGCCTTTTTGCGGTATTGGACATGTTGACCTCCCCCATCTTCCTGTCCCTTGTCACCTGCCCATCTTCCCTTGTCCTAGACCCCTCTCTCGTGGACCCTTCCTCATCTGTCTTTCCTGTCCTTCCATCAGTGTATCCCTCTATCCATCCTTAACTGATTCCAATAACCATTCCAGAATCGTCGGGGTAGTGACTCTGAGAAACGGAGCTTGGACAGTCGGGGAGAGACAACAGGGAGTGGGCGAGCCATCCCCATCAAACAAGTGAGTGGCACAGGGCCTGGGCAGGCTGAGGGCAGCTGGTCTTAGCTGGCTTTTCTCCCACACGTGTCTTTCCACATTCCAGAGCTTCCTATTAAAGCGAAGTGGCAATTCCTTGAACAAAGAATGGAAGAAGAAATACGTGACCCTGTCTAGTAATGGCTTCCTACTCTACCACCCCAGCATTAACGTGAGTGGCAGAGACTGAGCCACACTGGCCAGCCTTGGATGCCCTTCCAGCTCTACCTGTCCGTACCTCTGACAAGCACTAACATCACTTCTGGGAAGCTCTAGTCCTGTTCTCTTAAGTTTAGCAAGCATGTGTTAAGAGCCCACCATGTGCCCATGCCAGGAATGTAAAGGTAAATACATCTCTGCAGGAACTTTCAGTCTAGTGGGCGAGCACCCAGGAGGGGCCTCTCCTTGGCCCACTTTCAGGGAATGCTTTATGGAGGAGAGAGTGCTGGGCCACGTCTAAGGGGCCCATCCCCTAGAAGCGCATCCTAACCCCTTCAGTTCCCAGCACCCTCCCCAGTCCCTCTCATCATCATCATCGAATGCTGCCCGCACTGCCAAGGACCCCAACTTCCCTGCACTCTCGACCCTGTACCCCTCCAGGATTACATCCACAGTACTCATGGCAAGGAGATGGACTTGCTACGAACAACAGTCAAAGTCCCTGGCAAGCGGCCCCCAAGGGCCATCTCTGCTTTTGGCCCCTCAGCCAGCATTAATGGGCTGGTCAAAGACATGAGCACTGTCCAGATGGGTGAAGGCCCTGGTGAGTGGGGCTCATGACAAAAGGGCAGGAAAGGGGCCAGGACTGGGGGAAAGGGGTAGGAGGGGTAAGAGTGAAGTGGGGGCTGCCACTAGATAAATGAGAAGGTGGTTGATAAAGAGGGAGATCTCATGGGGAAAGGCCCGGGAGACAGAGAGGCTTACTGAGGTTTCATCTTCTCCTTTTAACAGATGCCACAACTCCCATGCCAAGCCCAAGCCCCAGCCCCAGTTCCCTGCAGCCACCACCAGACCAGACATCCAAGCACTTGCTGAAGCCAGACCGGAATTTGGCCCGAGCCCTCAGCACTGGTCAGTGGAGACCACCCTCCATCTACTGTCTTCCAGATCCAAATGGGATGTGGGTGGGAAATGAGTTCTGGGTGGAGACTTGGAGGCTGGAATGAATGCATGAGTGAACACATGGAGCCCCACACATGAACACCCGTCTACCAGGTGCCAGGCTCCAAGCTCAGTCATGTTATGTCTATCATCACGGTTAAGACAAGTGAGCTCCATATCTTCTACTGCTCAGAAAAAGAATAAAATAAAATAAAAAAAAAGACAAGTGGGCTCCAAAGCCAACTGCCTGAGCCCAAGTCCTGACGTGCCATGTAGGTAAGTTACTTGACCTCTCCATGCCTCAGTTTCCTCATCTGTAAAATAGACACAATAGTTGCTACCTCACAGGGTTGCTTTGAGGCTTAAACAAACAGAACATTGTCCAGCATATAGTCAGCTGTTATTGTTTGGCATGCTTGAATATATATATATATATATATTTTTTTTTTTTTTTTAATAGCAAGTAACATTGTAACAAATGATCCTCACAGCAACCTTGTCAGGTCAAGATCATGATCCCCATTTTAGGGAGAAACTGAGTCTAAGATTAAGTGATTTGCTTAAGGTTTCAAGGCCAGTGAGTGGCAGAACCAGGGTCTGAGTACAGGTCTGACTCTAAACCACTCATCTGCCCACCTCCCCATGAATGATCAAGGAAGACCTAGAGAGGGACAGTTAAGGAGGGTCCCCCTAAAATGCCAAAGCTAGCTCAGGAGAGGAGACAGGCTATTGAGAAATCAGGAAATCTGTGTAAGGGGCAACTGAGGCAGCTGTGTCCTCCTCCCTAAGACTGCACCCCATCTGGAGACCTGAGCCCTCTGAATCGAGAACCCCCTCCTTCTCCCATGGTGAAGAAGCAGAGGAGGAAAAAACTGACAACACCATCCAAGACTGAAGGCTCAGCTGGGCAGGCTGAAGGTGAGGCTTTGGTGGGCAGTTCTACTCCCACCCTGGACCCTCAGTCCCAACATCAGATCCCTGGCCCAGCTCCTGCAGCAGGAGGAAAAGTGCCTGAGCTGAGTGCTTGACTATCATTACCACTGCACATAATTTAGTGGAAAAGTAGATGGACATTCCCCGGCCCCTGTTCTCCTCCCCTGTCCCCAGCCAAAGCCCAGTCTCCAGCCTCTGTTCTCAGTGACACCCATAAGTCTGTAGCTCCTGTTCCCTCTCCTAGTGACCCTCTAGTTCCTGTTCCTGCCCTTAACTCCACTTACCTGCCCCCAGCCCCTGCACTCAGAAGTCCCCCTGGCCCCCAGTGATTCAGCCCCAACCTCAGTTTCCCCCATTGACTCCTCAGCTCCTGGGCTCTGGCCACCCAGCCCCTGCTCCCAAGAACCTTCAGCAATAGCCAAGTTCCCCCAACAGCTCTTGACCACAATGATCCCCATTCCTGTCCTCCAGTGACTGCCCCCCCAGGCCCCAGGGCCCTCTCATTCCAGCCCTGTGACCCAGCTTCTGTCCTCCTGCCCCATGCTCACTCAGATCCTGCCCCTCCCTCCTTCTCCCAGAGCCCCGGCTCCTTACTGGTCATAATAACCCGTCCCCACTGCCCCTGCTCTCTGCCGGGTGCTCAGACCCAGGTTTCAGATCTGCCTACTCTCATGGCTCTTGGCTTCTGCTCCACTCTGCTCTGGGGCCACTGACTTTAGTTCTGCTTTCTCTCCCCATCTGTCTGTCCTGCTTTGTCTCTGGCACTCTGTCACTGTCTCTCTCCATCTCTCCATCTGCCTCTCTTTCTCCTTTTTTCTTGGTCTCTCTTTCTGTCTTCTGCTCTCTCTTCTATCTCTATCTCCTTCGCTTCGGGAAACCAGCCAAGCGCAAAATGTGGAAACTAAAATCCTTTGGTAGTTTAAGAAATATTTATAAAGCAGGTAACAAGTGGGGAGCCGGGAAGGGTGCTCAGCTGGGGTGCAGAGGGGTGGGGGTGCCCCTGCCTTCCCCTGCATGTGCTCGGGCTTCCTGCTATCCCCCACCCTCTGCTTCCCCTACCCCCACTGCCCCCTCCCAGGGGCTCGGGATGGACATCAGGGAGGACGGGTTTGGGGAAGGCAGCCCCTGCTTGAACTCAGTTCCTCATGACCCCATCATATCCCTCCTAGAGGAAAACTTCGAGTTCCTGATCGTGTCCAGCACTGGTCAGACGTGGCATTTTGAGGCGGCCAGTTTTGAGGAGCGGGATGCTTGGGTCCAGGCCATCGAGAGTCAGATCCTAGCCAGTTTGCAATGCTGTGAGAGCAGTAAGGTCAAGGTAAGGGTTAAGGGGTGGGGTGGGTGGAAGGAGAGCAGAGGTGTTTGAAGAGGAGGTTTTGAGGGAGTCATTGCCAACCCCAACCCTCTCTGCAGCTGCGCACTGACAGCCAAAGCGAAGCCGTGGCCATCCAGGCGATCCGGAACGCCAAGGGGAACTCTATCTGTGTGGACTGCGGGGCCCCCAGTGAGTGCAAGAGGGTGCCGAGGGGGCCTGGGAGGTGGTATGTCAGGCTGGGTTCACTGGAGTCAGCGAATGCTGTGAGAGCCGACCTCTGCACTTCGTCCCCAGACCCCACGTGGGCCAGCTTGAACCTGGGCGCACTCATATGCATCGAGTGTTCCGGCATCCACCGCAACCTGGGCACACACCTGTCCCGCGTTCGCTCTCTCGACTTGGACGACTGGCCGCGGGAGCTGACCCTGGTGCTGACGGCCATTGGCAACGATATGGCCAACCGCGTGTGGGAGAGCGACACGCGGGGTCGCGCCAAGCCCACGCGGGACTCTTCCCGGTAAGCGTGAGGGACCAGAGTGGGGTGAGGGTGGGGTTGCTGCGAGTGTGCAGGTCCTGAGAGGGTCCTCTAGGTAGGAGGCAGAGATCCTGGCTCGGGGTCCCTTGAGCCCTTTACCGTTGACTCTTGGTCTTGCAGGGAGGAGCGTGAGTCGTGGATTCGCGCCAAGTACGAGCAGCTGGTGTTCCTGGCGCCGCTGGGCACCACCGAGGAGCCCCTGGGCCGCCAGCTGTGGGCCGCGGTGCAGGCCCAGGATGTGGCCACCGTTCTCCTGCTTCTGGCCCATGCGCGACACGGGCCACTGGACACCAGCGTAGAAGACCCGCAGCTCCGCTCCCCACTGCACCTGGCGGCCGAGCTCGCCCATGTTGTCATCACGCAACTGCTGCTGTGGGTACGTGAGTGGGAGATAGGTAAAGGGGTCTTTGAGGATTCCGTCTCTGGAACGTCTGGCGCGGGAGAGCGCCATCTTCCCCAAGGGACCCTGGAGATGGGCTCGGGAATCTGGGAGGCGCCGAGCGGTGTGGGTCCCCTGGGGGACGCGCGGTCACGCGGCCGTTTCCGCCCTCTAGTACGGCGCAGACGTGGCGGCCCGAGACGCGCAGGGCCGCACGGCGCTGTTCTACGCCCGCCAGGCTGGAAGCCAGCTGTGCGCCGACATCCTTCTCCAGCACGGCTGCCCGGGCGAGGGCGGCAGCGCAGCCACCACGCCCAGCGCGGCCACCACGCCCAGCATTACCGCCACGCCCAGCCCCCGCCGCCGGAGCAGCGCCGCCAGCGTGGGCCGCGCCGACGCCCCGGTTGCGCTGGTATAGTTGCCCACCGGGACAGACACCCCCACCCCCTCGCGGGCCGGGCACGCCACACCGGGCGGACCGCTGGACAGATGTACCCACCCACCTCTCCAATCCGCACCCTGCCCCACGGGAGCACTTCCTACCCCCACGAAGACACAGCCCCCACGCCTCCCAGAAGACACAAACTCACCTCCCTCTCCCCAACGAGGCACGGAGACCCCAGCTCAACACGCCCCCTGTCCACTGTTCCACACTCGGATTGCTCTGGGTCTGCCCGCTAGGTGTTTGCGGAACGGGACCCCCGCCGCGGTTCGGGCTCCTGGGCGCTTGGACCGTGCCCGCTTGCACCCCCTAGGGGCGGGAAAAAGACCCAGTCTTGCCTGTGCTCAACTATCCCTAGGCGGGAGCCCATACCCAGGCTGGCTCCTGGGGCGACGCCACGCCAGAGGGAGGGGTTAGTATGTAGGTAGGGCTAGCCCTGGGACTCGGGGCCAATTCGGGGACCCCCCCTTCCATGCTGATCTCACTGCCCAATAAAGGGGGGAAGGGCAGCGAGGGGCAGGACCCCTGCTGCTTACGGGGGTAGGGGGTCCCCAACCCTTTCCGTGAAAGGGACCATGAGGAGTGGAAATTAGGACGTTCCCCTAACACCTACCCATGGATGGAAGCTAAAGGGCTGGGGGGGAGCAAGAGCCTGGGTCCCTCCTCACTACTATCTCGGGAGGGAGAAGGGATGGAGCTGGAGTGGGCTAAGGGGGCTGGGGGAGTCTTGTAATTTATTGCTTTGTTCCCCAACATGGGGGCAGGGGCGGGCAGGGGCGTGGGGAGGGCGTTTTGGGGTAAGGGAAGCCAAGGGTGGGCAGGGGGTGGGGTGGGGTGGGGGTGCTCTCGGGTTGTGAGTGTCTGTGACCGTGACTGCGTACCTGTGACTGTGCAGCGCCCGTGGTGATCTGGGGTAGGGGGCACCCCTACAATGGGACCCCTCCCCCATTGTTCTCCTGTCCAGCCCCTCCCTCCCACCGGAGCAGCTCCAGACCCATCCCTCACCCTCCTGGTCCCTCCCAGCCAGGGCTGAGAGGATGTGAGGTGACTGGGAGGGTTTCCAGGCTCCCTTCCCCATCCCCAGAAGGGGGGTGGTGGGGTGGACTTACCTGGCCCAGCCCTGCCTCCCTCAATCAACCCAGCTCTTGGGCTGTCTGTGTCAGTGGTTTCCGGTCTTTTTTTTTTTTTTTTCTGGCTAAAATATTTTGCAAAGGACCAGGTAATTGGGGAGGGGAGTGGGATGGGGGCAGGGGGGAATGCCCCCCTCATCTCCTCGGAGGCAGGTGGTGTGAATCTTTAACAGCAATTAAAGAGGAAGTGATTTTGTCTAGGGGGTGAGCTGCTGGTCTGTTTTTGAAGAGGCAGGTCAGGGTATGGCCTTGGTCATGGTGGGGAACTGGGGTGGGAGAGGGCCAGACAGAGGTGCTTCCCACTGGGGCTGGTGGCAGGGCAGTACCCATGGGCAAAGAGGTGGTTTCAAAGTGTACAACAACTCTGGGCTCATGTAGTGGAAGGACATGGGCATATCCAGGCAACAGTGGGGATCCTGGGAGCAGAGAAGTCACTGACTTCCCAAGAAGACCCTGGTTCTGGGGGAGAGTTGGGGTGTGGTGCTTAGAGGAGAGGGCAGGCCTATGGAGAGGGGTGAGAAGATGGGGTAGCCTTGGTTAAGATCAGAAACTTTGGAGACGGACTTGATTTTGAAACCTGGCCCTCTACTTCATAGCTAGGTGACCTTGGTAGCATCCATATATTTGTATTCTGAAAAATATCAGAGGGCACCTGGTAAGTACTCCTGGGGAGAGCTGCCCAGCCGGCCTGCTCACTTTGAAGAGCAGAGGCTATCGTAGGGGCCCTTTCCCTGGCCCTAGTAAGGAGGTGCTCCAGAGGGAAAGGGTGAAAGATCTCCTGGAAAGATTTCCAAGCTGGCTGCAGAGGTCCCTGCTGTCCACAAATTCTATGCCAGCTGATGCAAGCATTTGTCCCCCTCTGTGTCATCAACGGGGCCACCAGGCCACTGCAACCTGAGGCCAGTGCTGCCTCCAGGAGCTGTAGTACTGTTAGGCTCTGCATGTAGCCACTACCACTATTTCTTCAATGCAGCTAAAGTGTTTGCCCTGGTAGAGGGGCTGGGCAGGGTGGTATTGAGCCAGCAGCCAGTGCAAGTTGGGCACAGCCACCACGTGTGTCATCTGCCTCAAGGATGGTAACACCAGCATCTTTGGGTAGAGTTGGTTCTGACCCTCAGTGCCCACTAGGTGTGCCACCAAGCTGACACGGTGTGGTCACAGTACTGGGCCCGTCAGATTCACATGGAGGCTGCTGCTCTGCACGGTCCTAGGCAGGGTGACGACCCAGAATAGCGGCATGACCCAGGGAGAGGTGGATTCAGGGGTGCAGGTGCAGAAGCAGGGGTGTGTGTGGTCTGGGTAAAGTGAGAGGAAGGGGGGTGGGTGGCAAAGACTGACTAGAGGACCTGGCCATCCCCCCTTCAGCTCAGAGACCAGGGACTCCCTCACTTAGTCTCTACTCCTCAGAAGCCTGGAGTGTAAGAGCACACAGGGAGGAAACAAAAACCCTGGAGAGATGAAATTCCCTGCAAAGGAAACTGCAGGCCAGCAGGAAGTTCCTTTAATTTCCAACCAGTGAAAAATGGTCAAGCTGTTGGCGATCCCCACAGCAAACCCAACTCCAAGTCATCCACTTGATTCTTTTTTTAATGGGGTGCATCTTTGGTCTTGTGGGGAGCTGTAAAAGGTGGTAGTGGATGGAGTGACAAAACATGGAGCCCTTCAGGTTATAGCCAAATAGGGCCCTAGAGGGTACTTGCTGGGTGGGTGGAGATCTGCTGCCCCTTTACACCATGCCACCTCCACAGCTCAGCCTGGGCTCCTGGCTGGGTCCCTGTTGCCATCCGTCAGCCCTCTCCTCACGCCCTTCCTGGTTGCCATCTGCCACATACCCCATTCCCCTCCTTTTAATGGCCCTAGCACAGCTGGAGAAAACTGACCTCCATGGGAGTTTTGCTAAAAGCCAAAGGGAAGTAAAAGGACTTACTGAAAGTACAAAATGATTAATACAGTGAGGTTCTAGAATTCAGCTTTCTGATGATGCTAAGACTCCATTCTCAATCAAATCAGATACCCCCTTCTGCTCCAGCCTCTCATCCTTGCCATTCTAAAAGATTCTACTGGAGCTTCTGATCACTTTTGGGATTCTCTTGCCTCTAGGCTCTTCTGAATGCAGGAGCTAGTTCATAATAATAAAGTCAGTGAGCACTTACGATGGGCCAGGTGCTGTGCCAAGAGCATGACACACACACTTTCCCCTTCAGTCCTCACAACCACCTTCCTGTTATCCATGATTTACCAACGAGGAAACAGCATTCAAAGTTAAATAACTGGTCCAGGCCCCTCTGATGGTAGATGAAAGGGTGAAGATTCAGACCTAGCATTCTGACTATAGCTGCCTCTCAAGACAGTTTCTAAGCTCTTGCCCATTACGGTATCCCTCCCCCAAGATACACCAATGGATCTGGGAAGGCAGGATTTTTAAGTCTACCATTTACATTTCAAAATAAAACAATTTAAGCATAACATGCACAATACACACCAGTCCACCACATTCAGCACGAAGAGGGTCAGTCTCATGTAACTTCCTTCAACAACAATTGAATCTCTTACTTTCCACTTTTAGAGGCCTGGGACTTCCATGCCCTCTGTCCCTTTTCTTATCTTGTGAGCCAGTGGAGTCTTCAGCAGAAAGGCTGTAGCCCTCTGGGATAGGGAGCCAGAGGAGACTGCCTTAGCTCCTTTCTGCCTTTAGAGTCCTCTGCACTAGGAGGAGGGACATGGGGGACCCACACTGCACTTGACAATGAGGAAGAGATAGAGACACCAGCCCCACCTACCCTTGGCATACTCAAGAGCTGGCACGTGTGGGCAGCAGCCCGCTCTCTCTGGGCATAGCTGAAGGTGGGGCCCCTCTAGGAAATGTTGAATGGACAGAGGGTGTGGGATGTGGGTGGCAAAATGGAATCTGGAGCACTCTGCAGGAGGGGGTTCAGCAGGAGGGAGATCTGAGTGTGGGAGGGTAACTGTGGTGTGCATTTTGGCTTTCAGGATATAAATGGGGAGAGGACAGGGAAGGGACTGGTGCTAAAGAAGGGAAGGAACAGAAGCAGAGAGATGAGGAAAAGGAGGGATGATAGTACTGCAAGTGTCTCTTTCAATCCTCGCCAGGCTAGTTGGCTTTGCTTAGCTATCCTGGTCTCTCCTGTATTGCCCGTCCCCCACTGATACCACCTGGCAGGTATGAATCAAGGAACAAGATGGGAGAATGTGCCCTCCACCCTGAAAAGAATACCAAGCCTCCTCCCTGCTTGAGTCCCCACCTGACCTACGCTCCCCACCAAAAAAGGCTGATGGATTGATGGTCCAGTTCTTTATTTTGAAACGTGATTGTTCAATAACTTGGTGGGTTCTGTACCCCACCCTTTTCGCTGGGATAGTGTTGGAGGTGATGGGCAACATTCCCCCATTTCCTCAGCAACAGAGGTGAAAGCTTCTCAACTGAGAAGCACAGATTGTAGGGGACAGTATGGACATGGAAAGGGAGAAGAAAATCCCAAGGCAATCCAGGGAAAGGGGTAAAGTGACTCCACACAGCAATGGGGACAGGAAGAGACGGCATCTGCTTTCTGAGGGCCTGCCAAACTGCCCTGCTGTCCGTGCTCTCTCTAGCCTACTCCACTCAAAAGACCTGACTGAATCTCTAGGTGGGCAGAAGGAAAGAATCCTATCCTATCGTTAGGTTCGGGGATGACAACAGGAAAAGCCAATGAGGAAAGCAAGGGGACTGGGGAAGAGCCCAGGAGAGCAAAACTCCCAGGCCTGGTGAGGCTGGAGGGCAGCAGCACTCACTCCATGGCCCTCCACACCCCCAGAGCTGGGGCCACCCGGTCCACAGCTCAGCTCTGCCCTGCTGTTTGCCTTCAGGGGTCCTAGGGGTGGTGAGGTGGGGAGCAGGCAGGCCAGTTTAGGAAGACTCTGGACTCCTTGGAGGGCGAATTGCAGTGGAGGTCTCAGAAGTCAAACTCATCCAGGTCCCCCGTGCCCTCCCCGCCTTGAGAGCCCCACACCCTGCGGTAATTGCTCTCCAGCTCCTTCTGCCGCTGGCGCTCTTTCTGGGCCTCTTCAGCTCCCTGCACCTGCGGGGAGAGGGTAGGGTGGGCTGGAGTCGCTGTCAAGCCAAGGGAAGCAGTGGGTACTTGAGGTTCCAGGGAAGCCCTGGGACTGGGAGCAGCCAGGGTGGGGGGGAGGGGCAGGTGATGGGGGTAGGGCTCTGCCTGAGGGGCAGCACACTGAGCCACCAGAACCCTGGCCTCGGCTTCCAGAAGAGTAAACTGAAGGCCTGGCACCATGGCTCACGCCTGTCATCCTAGCACTCTAGGAGGCCGAGGCGGGTAGATCATTTAAGCCCAGGAGTTCAAGACCAGCCGGAACAAAAGCGAGACCTCATCTCTACTAAAAATAGAAAGAAATTAATTGGCCAGCTAAAATATATATATATAAAAAAATTAGCTGGGCATGGTGGCACATGCCTGTAGTCCCAGCTACTCAGGAGGCAGGAGAATCGCTTTAGCCCAGGAGTTTGAGGTTGCTGTGAGCTAGGCTGACACCACGGCACTCTAGCCCTGGCAAGAGTGAGACTCTGTCTCAAAAAAGAGTAAACTAAAGCTCAGCCGCTGGCAAGGCTAGAACGTGGCTGTGTGCCTCCTTTCACACCATGCTCAGGATACCTCAGCGGGCTGGGAGCGGGAAGGCTGGAGGGCCAGGACTGGGTAGAGAGGAGGCCTCTCACCAAGATATTGAAGAAGATCTCCTTGAGGCTTTTTGTGTCCTCGTCAGTCAGCCAACGTGCATCTTCTTCAGTCCCTTCAGCCCCTGGCCGGACAATTTTGATCTCAATCTTCCCTGGAAAGGAGCAGTGTGGCAGTGAGAGGATAGGATGGCTGGGAGCCTCAGGGCAGGCCCCTTGCCCCCAGATCCCCAGCCCCTCCACTGCGGGTGGCACGCCCTTCCAACAGCGCTGAGTCCAGCGCCCTCCAGGGCCCACCTTCAGCTGTGAGTCCCTCCCTCTCCAGCAGCTCCTTCACCAGCCCCTCGATTTGTTTCAGCTGTGGGTTTTCCCGTTTCATCTCGAGGACAGTCAGATCCTGATTGGGGCCTCCGTGACGGAGCTTGGTGACCCGGACCCGGACTCTGTGCTCAGGATCCTCCTCTTAGAGGGGGAGACACATAGGGAGACACAAAGCACAGCTGTGACTCC